CCTACAGTATTTTTACAGTCTTTATTTTACAGTTAAAATATATGTTTATTAAATAAAAGTCTAATGTTACAACTAATCATGGATGCCTTTAAGCATTTATTTCTCGAGACACAAGAGTTGTGAAGTCTTGCTGGTAAATCAGTTGTTCTTATCTTAGTCTTGGTTTTTTGAACGGACAGTTGAAAAACCAGCACATCACCACCACCTGTAAAATAGTGGACAGTGTGGTAGAAATACAAACATGTGGTCAGATCCCAAAAGCATGGTCACGGGAACGCAGAGGAGTGTGTTTGTAAGCTGGACTAGGACATGTTTAAAACCTTATTTTACAGTCCGGTCAGTATTTTGGCACAAAGAGTAAAAGAAGTTTCTGAGCTCATCGTCCCTTTGTGATGGCTCATATCGTGGGTGATGTATTGCACGGGTCAGAGAGGATCATGACGGAGCTGAATATGTTGTCAGTGTGGCCTTCGCCTACATTTGACTGATGACCGAGGCAGATGTCACCCTGCGGTGCTCCCGTCTTTCTGCAGAGCCACATTCAGGTTCTCCCCCCTGCACCAGTCTCTTCCCCCGCGTCCGTTCGTGTCCTCTCCCTTTGAAGTGAGACCCGGAGATGGATGACCAGATAGAGTAAGAGGAGCTTTGTGTGAGGGAGAGAAACGTCAGAGCACTTCAAAGGCTGGCCCGCCGCCCCGCTGGGCCCCACCGCTCCACAATGTTTCCCTCTGCTCTGCTGGAAGAGTTTCAGCCGCCGCCTTGAAAGGCTGCAGCAGCGCGGTGCTGCATGCTGATCTGAGCTCCATCTAACCAGGTCTCACTTACCCTCTGATGCCCTTTTACATTACACTCAATTAACCCAGTTCCCCTGAAATGTGCCCGCAATCATTTTTAGACGTCTGTCCAGAAAGTGAAAAACAGTATGGCACCAAACACAGCTGAGTTTGATTAAATTTCACGCTTGGAAAATGATCAGTTTCAACATTTGAAGGTTTCAACAGTGAAAGCAAAAGGTTAATCTCACATCATTAGGAGTTTGGTCTTGTTTTCTTGATTTTAATCAAAATTTTCATTAAGTGAAGTGCAAAGTTTTGAATAAAAAAAAAGTCTGGCAAAAAAAATCACTCAAAACCAGAATAATGAATGCTACAAATATGTGAAAATAAGCCCAATGATATTCACAAACATTATCTTTTGAAGGTTTTTACATATTTGTAATCATGAAAACTATTTAAAGTAGAACGCTTTAGGTGATCGACCCACAGGTGATAAATGGTTGTGGACTTGTTTCCTAACTGTCTCTGAATGTTTCTTGGCTGAGAGTGATGCTGCATCATCCCAGGTCTCTGCAGTTTATCATAAAAACTGTGGCCAAAGCTTTGAAAATGAGAGTCAACGTGTAGAAAAGAAGTTTCCACTGTCTGCCTTCTTACAATTGAACTTTTAAATGTGTTCAAATTTATTTATTCATTTTTTATTAAAAAATGTGTTTCATTTCATTTAAAAACAAAACAAATGCTATACATACAACAAATAATAATACAAAACACATAAAATGAAAGATGGCAGAAAGAAGAAAAAAATTCTCATTAATATCTGCCTCTTTTTTCAAAAAATAAATAAATTCAAACAATAATGTGCTTTTGTTTTTTAAAAACCTGAAACGTTGCTGAGCTTGTTGCTGCTCTCAGACGGAGGTTGGATTTTGACAAACCTCTGATCCGTTGCAGGCTCGTGTGCTGGCAACCATCGGGGTCACGAGAGGCCTTGGAGACCACAACCTGAAAGTGCACGACTCCAACATTTACATTAAGCCTTTCCTGTCCTGCTGCCCAGAGGTAGGCTCCACGTGTAGCTTTATTATGTTGCTCTTGTCTCTGTACATGTGTGGGTTTGTTTACGACGCTCTGAATTCCTCCAACGTTCCAATTACTCCTAATGTGCAACAAAATCTGGTGATGGTTTGAGAAATGTGACTATAAATCAAGGAAAGCTCGTGTGGTTGGGTCAGTTTAGTGACGTGTTTTACACTCAGTTAAATACTAGGGCTGTGTTTTGGCAAGAATTTGGCGATACGATACATATCATGACAGAGGGGTCACGATACGATATATACCGATATATTTCGAGACTGTAAACAAGGTGATATATATTACGATTTTTTTTGTCCAAAAATTCTATTAAATAAAAACCTCTTACTGGTAAAAAAAAAAAAATGAAAAACCAAAATTCATTGTCTCAGAAAATTCTAATATTGCAAAGACATGCTTTTGATACATTTAGCTGTGTTCTGCTTTGTATGTTTTATTTTATTTGTTTCATATTTCATCCATGTTTTCAATTATTAGACTAAAT